GAAGGCCTTGGCCATAGGCAACATCCCCCAATGCCTGGCATTGGGGGAGCCTTACTCTGGTGAAAGACTCCATGGTGGGGTAGGGAGATGAGCCTCTGCAAGATGGTGGCCCTGGGGGTGGGACCCCTGCAGGGCATGGCATCCTAGGGGCTTGCAGGGCCTGGCCTGCCCAGCCTCATCTCCAGCCAGCCGGCTCCCCACCTGCAGATCTCCATCCTGCTCACTGCCTTCCTCCCCCACCTTTTGTTCCCTCAGTGGGCCACGCCTGCTTCAACCACAGGGGCTTTGCACAAGCTGCACTCCCTCTTGCCTCGCTCTTCACCACCTCTTTGCCCAGTAAATCCCTCTGAGCAAGTCCATCCCAGCTCCTTTACTGCCTCCTCAGGGAAGCCTTTCCTGACCTCCTTCCTGTCATGTGCCCTGCCAACCCCACACAGCCCAGTGCAGAGTTAGGTATCTGCGTTTCCTTCCTCCACCACTTCCCTGGAACCTGGAAGACCTCTTGGCACATGGAAAGTCCCCAATAAATATTTGTTGACAGAATGAATGACCAGCTCCACATTGACATATTAAAGCTGGGTTCATTCACTCTCTGGACTTTGGGCCTCTCCTATGCACAAATCCCAGTGCTGGGGGCTGAGAATACAAAGGTAGCCATCATTTGTTCAACTGTCTCTGAGACTGGAAGCGCTCTGAGGGCAGGGGTCATGTCAAAGGTCAGCGTCCCACCATATGGTATTCTCTCTGTTAGTGGGCCCACTGTCCCTCAAACATTCCCAGAAGAATCCGGGGGTTGTGCACGTTTCTGTCTTGCACGCCCTACATCCAAGGATGGCCAGGTCCTCACACTCATATCTGCTCCTTCTGTGCACTGCCCAGAAGACAGAGCCCTGGCTTCCGAATGTGGCGTTCAAGGCCCGCGGGTCTGTCTTCCACCCACCTTTCCATGCAGCTCTTTCCATCATCTGCCTCCACCTTTAGGTGCCAATGACAACAAGCCTCACCCTGCTCCCACCCAGGCCAGGTTGCTGCCTGCTCCTTGCTGTCACTCAGCTGGCCTGTGAAGTGGCCCCACCTCTGGGCCTGGCTCAGCCTTCCCTGGGATGCAGGTCACACATCGCCTTCTCTAGGAGGACCTGGTCCTGAAGTCCTTGCTCTTCTTCACCCAACTCTGTTCCTCTTTACTATGCACTGCCATTTTCTGCTTGTGTCTCTCCCGCAAGCATCTGAGAGCAGGGGATATGGCTTGTTGTCATAGTATTGCCAGAATCTCGCATAGTGCTGAGTAAAATTAATAGGCAGTAACAATTTACAGGTTCAGTCACCATTTGACAAACTAATCTTGGGTGAATGGAAGGATAAATGTGTAAACCAAAAAGTATCTGAGACAGGTCTCAATCAATTTAGAAGGTTATTTTTCCAAGGTTAATGACATACCTGGGAGAAAGGTCTGGTCTTTCTCCAAAGATAATTTTGAGGGCTTCAATATTTAAAGGGGAAAGTGGGCTGGAGGGGAAAGAAGGAGGATATGGTAATCCACATGTTACAAGAGAAAAGGAGCAGGTGGTAAATAATCAATTATGTATTCCTCCCTTGCTCAGTAAATTAGGACTTTGCATAAGATAAGGTGAACATAGAATAGCTGCTTGTGGAGATGTTTAACCTTTGATTCTATCTGCTTAGGAATAAAAGGAAAGGCAGTTTCTCATATTACTCAACTTTCAGCTTAATTTTTTTCTTTTGGTATAATGAATTGGGTTCCCAAGTTTTTATTTTCCTTTCACAAATGGATGGAAGGATGGGTGAATAGATGGATGGATAGATTGAAGAATTAATGGATGGATGGGTGGATGGATGGATAAATGGATGGATGGATGGATGGATGGGTGGGTGGGTGGAAGAATGAATGAAAGGATGGATTCATGGTTGG